CATCTGAATATCAACATCAACATTTAGGAGGAGAGAGAAACTAGAAGTGGAAAAGAAGGGATGTCTGAAAGATGGAGGCTAAAAAAGAAAGCAGTGATTCTGACCATATGACCAACAAAGGGACTTGGATGAAATATTTAAAATTAGGAGGGTAAAGATTTTCTTCTGACAGGCTTTACTCAACACAGAATAGATCAGAATAGAGGCAGTCAAAGTATCCTAAAAAGTCAGAATGGCTCTTAGTTCTGGTAATTCAGTTAGGAATGGGTGGTTCTGTCTCAAGATAAAGTAAGTGTAACATCACCATAAAGTCAGTATTGTGCCAAATGGTTCACAGAGGTCACGGGAGGGAAGGAGAGTGTTGGGTGCAGTCAGCAACGTGCAGCTCATGGGTGAGTTCAGGGAAAGCAGTTTCAATGGGACGATAGAGAGAGAAACCAATCCACAGTGGGCTGAGGAACCTCTAGGAAGCAGCAAAGGGTGGGGACTGAGGGTGGATGTCTCCTTACCAAGAAAGGAGAGAGAGAAGTAGATGGCAGGGGTTGCAGGGTCTGAGGACATGTGTTTCATGTGTTCATGATTGGAGACATTCTAGCATGTGTATGAGTGGAGGGGAAGAAGCTTAGGAAGATGGTCCAGGGGCAAAACACAGGACCCAGGATCCAGAGCCCTGGAGAGGTTGGAGGGAATGGGATCCATTCTAAGCAATGGCACCATCATCAGAATGAATGCCTTGATGACAGAGTGACTAAGATGGGGCTTTTTGTTAAAATTACTAATCATATCACTTTATAGTCACATCTTACACTGTGATTTGTTTTTCACCATTCATGGAAATGTGCAGTGTTCTAGGCTATGTGGATTAATGAACAACTTTTATGGGAAAATATTATTTAGTTGTTAGAATTTAATGTTCTTTTATCTGATGAGTAGTGATGGACAAATTCTCAGAAAAGAGATAGGTCAGGATGATTAACTATCATACTATTGAATTAATTTCAATGTGAATTATGAACACAGCTATATAATATTCTGCCCTCATAAATGATTCAGAAAACAAAGTGTTAATTTGTGATGGACAGTTCCTGAGGTAATATGTTTCCTTCAAAAGTCAAGGATTCTTCAAACATTCATTCAACAAATAGTTGTGGAACACCCACTGTGTCCCAGGTGCTGTGCTGGGCACTGCCAATAAGGCTGCAAAGAAAGCTTTCCAGTCCTTGTTGTGACGCTGCTTACAACTCAAAGGGGTTTCAGGAAAGCACACAGGCCACCGCACTTTGCGGTGGAGGATTCTACATTTAGGGATAGAAAGGGCCTTCAGGAGGACTCAGGAAAGCTGCCTGATGGACTAGAGTTACAGGAGTGGTTGCTAGGGATATGTCAGGAGAGCCTTCTTTGATAAACTGATGGCTGTGTAAGCAAAGGTCTAAAGAATGCTAGGATTTCTGCAGAAGAAGGGAGGCTGGCTGGTGAGGAGGGGAAGCAGGGACAAAAAGAGGGCTCCTGGCAGTTGGAGGAAGAACAGCCTGAGGAATCTGGAGAACTCCCTGTCCTTCAGTATGGCTGAGGCAGTCGGTGCAGGACGAAGAAAGAACAAATGTGGCAAGAGATGAGGCTGCCTTGGAGCCATGTGCTGAAGGGTCTTGTGACGAACAGGAAGCCCATGGAGGGTGTAGCGGGGGAGCACAGAGGAGTTAGATTTACAGTTTACAAAGAATACTTACTCTGGTTGCAGTGTGGAAACAGATGGAAATGGGGCAAGAGTGGGGACGGCAACATCAGGCGAGGGATGCTGGGGGCCTGGTCTGAGGCAGTGACCCTGGGGGAGGAGGGACGATGCCATGGCGGACGGCCCGGAAGCAGAGCAATGGGGCTTATTGGTGGGTTAGTGGGGAGTGGAGGGGGCTGGTGAGCAGGTTTCCGGGTGATTAAATGGTGTCGTTCAGCAATACAGGGGACACAGGAGGAGAAACAATTTTGATTAGGAAGCCCACTTCTTTTCAATGTTTTTCTGTTTCAGATTGGCAGACCGAGCTTAGGTGAAGCACAGATACTTTGGGGGTGCTTTATAACCCCATTGTTTGGACCTAATGGCCCTGGTGTGGGAGCTCTACACAAGCAAATGTTGCTTTCAGTGTGTTTCAGGCAAAGCAAAAAAAAAAAATTTACCTGCGGAGCTTCAAGCAGACCAAGCATATGGCATCTCTGACTCTGGTGCCCACAAGGCAAGTAATAATAAACATTCCCCTTTTCATGTGACAGACTTTCCGTTCCCCACCCCCACTCCAGGCATCTGCATACACAAATCAAAACCCTCTTAAGTCATGGAATGAAACAATGAGAAAAAAATAAAAGCAAACAAAAAGTGCTTCCTGTGGGGCGAATGGAAATTTTGGCCCAGGCTGATTTCCAGGCACATGAAAAACAGTTCTGAATACTTAAAACCACAAGTGATTGTATTCTTAACTGAGATTTTTGAGAAGAGCAGCCCTGAGAAGGATCACATTAGGGGTCTTTGATAAAAGGCACGTTTGCATCGGAGCAAGGCCTGCTCCACTTTAAGAGCAGTTCCCACCAAATGCCTTAGAAACAGAGAAGTGTACTGTGTATTGGTTTAAAAGAGCAAACAGATTCATGTCAAATAAAAGCACACATATCCAGCTGAACTAAGGCTGAACCCAATCATAACTTGTAAGATTTTTTCTCCCCTTGAGACAGAAACATTGCACCTAAATTTTATTAGGAAATTTTTTTTTTGCCTTCAGGTATTTTGGAACTTTACCTAAGACCTAAGCCCACCAAAATGTGAGGCCAAAATACCATGCTATCATTAATTTCTGGCCAGATAAATGAGGACTATCTGTGAGTGTAGTGTGGTAATGGAGAGAGTGGGATTTGGTTTCACTGTCTGGGTTTGATCTGACTCCATTACTTACTGGCTATGTGACACTGGGCTGAGTAGTTCATCTCTCTAACTCTCACATTCTTCATTTGTGAAATGGAAATGATAATGGGGTGTACTTCCTAGAGTAGTTAGGAGAACTGAATGAGATAATTCATGTGAATCACAGTGTCTGGCACGGAGTCTGTAATTAAGAATCCATTATTAGATTCTTGGCCTGTTTTCCTCTGCACAACTGCACCTGAGCTCTAGAATTTATGACAGCTTTTATCCAATGAAGTAATAGCAGGCCATACTTGGTTCCAGAGCTAGACCACAACTAGGTTAGAAAATGTCAGTTATCCTCCACTCCCTATCTCTTTGCTGGAAAAACTCTTCAGCACAATGACAACAGGTCAGGAAACATTTCCTCTTGATGCTGTCAGGGGGCACTGTGGAAGGGAAAGGAAGAAAATTGGGGAAGCAGATTCCCAGGGTGGCCCAGTCTTCACTGCTCAGGCTAGTGGCATTATTTTCTTGATCACTTTGGGTGGAATATACAGAGAGGAAAACAGAAGATTGAAGCAACATCTGAATATCAACATCAACATTTAGGAGGAGAGAGAAACTAGAAGTGGAAAAGAAGGGATGTCTGAAAGACAGGCTAGCTCAGCACCTCAAACAGCCTCTTTTACACCCACTCCTGGGGCCCAGGAGCCCTCAAACAGGGACCTGGAGAAACCTCAGCAACTTAGGGAAATCATGGCAGGATCAGACCCCTTACCTTTGAAAGCCCTTGCCTTGCCTGGTATCCCTAATTGCTCCTTTATAGCCCCAAACCTGGAGTTTGCTTCAGAGTTTGGGCATTTTGGGCTGATAACTGGGTTGCCCTGACCAAGCGATTTTAACTTCTTACCTGGATTTCACCTCTGCAGGCTGACAGTTGGTCCTACCATGCCACTGCCCAGAAACCTATCCTGGATCCATCATCCTGGAAGCCAGGTCAGATCTCTGGATAGTGGGCTCAGGAGTCCTTGCCGGGAATGGTTCCACCTGCTTTGGTTAAGAGCGAGAACCCTGGAGACAGACTCTGCAAATTCTGGCACTGCCACTTACTAACTGTGTGACTTGGGCCAGTACTTCACTGCTTTGTGCCCTGTGTATTCCTTATCTGTAAAATGGGGAGATTAGCAGCTTCCCTCTTATAGGATGGTTCAGAGGATTAAATCAATTAATTAATGTACAAAACATAACAAAAATGTATATATGCAAATAACCCATTTAAATAAATGTGAAACAATATTGATGGAATACTATGTTTATATTATATTATATACATGTTAATATATATCATATGTTTAGCTTTATATAAGTTTTGCATTAAGATGTGTTATTTCATATAAAACATTTAGGTACATATAAATCAAATTACTCATATTATTATCACTGTTGATGTTACTATCTATTCTATCTCCCTGTAGAGATAGAGAGAGCATGCGTAGCATTTCAACTTTCTTGATTTCATCTGAGCCTATAGGTGCAGAATCCCTGGTTTCTACGGACTTTGCTGTAATAAGCAGAACAGGATTTAAGTTAGGTTAAAACTGACTCCACCATCTGGAAAATTATAAACTGCTCTCAGATTCCTATGTTGCTCCTCTTTCAGGTATCTTCATTTCAGTTTCTGTTGGAATTTCATTTATTTCCTGTCCTATTTCAAAGCCTTCTACCTTTGGAGCAAATAGCATAAGATAGAAATGTGTCAAAATATATGTTATTTACATGGCTATTTTTAGATCCTGCTATCTCCAATAAATATTGATTCAGAGGAATAGGGTAGTTCTGAAAAGAATGGGCATTGTCTCTTTCTCTTATTTCATTGGAACCAGAATGAGGGTAAAATTTTCCTGTCTTCAAAATCATCAACAATCCATGGATTAAGTTTAACCCCCATAAGCAATAATGCCTCCCATCTAGCCATTGACATCAATTAAGAGACATCCCCTTGCCTTGATGGTAAGTGTGATACAACATCAACTTCCTTTCCACAAAACCGCTTCCTTTGCAGTAAATAGGAAACAACTGAGAACATGAATCCATTGTCAGCTCTGAACACTGAAGGGGGAGGATTCTATCTGTTTCTGGCAAACATGAAGTCAGACCTCTGGTACATCTTTCTCTTCTGCTTCCAGGTTGAAGTTCTAACAGGTAAGTGGCCTTACTGAATATTTCTTAAGTTGTAAGTCAGGTGAGCATTAAGAAAACTTAAAGATAGAAAGGTTTAGCACCAAATAGAGAGGTCTTTTTTTCCCCCAAAAGTAGGAACAATTGCAGAAGAACTCACACACATGGCTAAGGGCATTTGTCACCCATGTCACTGTTGATGGCATTGAATTCGTACTGCTTCCTTTGATACTGTGTTTTAAGATGATGAAAAATGTCTCATCAGACCATTACAATTTTAAATTACCTGCTTGGAGTCACCTATTAGTGGATAAAGTAGAAGAGTGACTTGCTGTTCTCAGAGAAAGATGAAAGGCAAAATGACTTGTGTCAACAGAATGAAAATTAAACAGTCCTGGCATTTGGGCTAAGAATTCTTTCTGAAGGAGAATATAAAATGCAAGAGCTTTGAAAAGAAGGATTTTGATTCTAATCTTATCTGGGTGGTCTGTTGTCAGAAATGCCCCGGCTGCTGGAGTTTTTTCCACACTAAGTTGTCAGGGTCCTTCTGAAAGACCAAGGAATAGTGGATGATATAAAAATACTCTGCAGCCCCTGTAGACATTAAAAGAAAAATCATTCTGAAGTCCTGGGTTCTTTCTCTGAAATGGTATATATCAAACTCTACTTGAACAACTTAAATAATGCCACCAACCACTAAATTAATATATGTGTTTCTGCTGCCTCTTACTCAGTACACTTTTCTATTATTTTTGTTTTATCTTCAACTCTAAGCCATATTCTTGAGGCTGGGAAAAGCACAGGAAAATTATTACATTGGGCATTTCCATTAGCACAAACAGTGAAGGCGAAACTTTCAGTAAGTATAATATTATCAGAAATAAATTTTGTAGTGGTACAAAGAAATACACGTTACTTTTCTTTTCCAAAAATTAAAATTAAAAACCACAAAAGAAGAGTGGTCTAATGTTTCACCTTGTGATGGCTCCAGGTGGTTCAAATGCTCTTAAATAAAGAGGAGTGAAGAGTTAGTGTCTACTCATAAGTGCCACGGGCAATTTGGGCTACTTACTTGTTTAACTATGCCTTTTCTATGACTAATGAAATCCTTTATCAGCATGAACAGCAAATGAATAGCTTAGGAATTGATACTCATTCATGCATGCATTCATTCATTCATTCATTCATTCATGCAGCACCGAGCACTTGCCAGGCAGGAGGCACTGTGCTAGCTGCTCTAGGTACAGTAATGAGCAAAACCAGGCCAGTTCCTGTTCTCAGAAAACTAACTAAATGGTTGAGAGGCATTAATCAAGTAATTCCATGAATGAATGATAATTACAGAAAGAACTCAGTTATATCAGAGAAAATGTATCACAGAAGCTTGTCTAGACTAGCTGGGTATGGAGGTGGGGCTGGAGAGTGGGGCTCATTGAAGTTTTTCCTGTGAAGTGGCCTGAGCTGAAATTGATTTGGAAGACAAGTAGGAGTAAATGGGGAAAGGTGGGGAAGAACATTTCATACCCTGAGAAGAGGAAGTGCAAAGGACCTGTGGCAGGAGGGAATGAAGTAAGTTTAGGGTACTGGATGAAGGAGGATGTGCCTGACCACAGAGTGGGAAGGGGTTTGTGGTGGTACAAGACAGGGCTGGAAAAGAAAGCAGAGGCCAGACCATTCAGACTATATGGGCCATGTGAAGGATTTTGAATTTTCTTCTATGAACATTGCCCAAGTCATTGAAGTATTTGTTAGTACTACAAAAAGGCATTCTGATATGCCAAACCCATTTGGGTATTATGGTTGCTGATCCTGTGATTTGAATTAGCAATGGTGTTATTTCTGTGGAAGGATAGACCCATCCTAGGAAGAATTATTCCTAGTTGAGTCTAAGTTAATGAATAAATTGTACTTCTAGAATGAGATTCATCTTAGATTCTAATGGAATAAAACCAATGTTCACTCTCATGACACAGAAAGCCATGCCACATGACAAGCCATTTTTCTCTTTGACGGGTGGCAAAACTGAGGCATGAATGGCTACATGAAGATAGTAAACTGCTAACAATCTTCATACTCCAAGTATCATCACATTGCATTTATCTAGCAACTACCATTTTTAAAAGCTCTGAAGTCAGAGTTAAGAGCCAAACTGAACTACACGAAGGTCTTTTCTTTGGCATATTTTTAATCCTTTCAACTAAGTAGGCTTTTTCATCCCAAGAAGAAGTAGGTGTTTCTTACCTTCAGTTGATGTTTGAAGAGTCTCAGACCTGAGAAAGGCTCAGGGATGTGTTACATAGTAATTAGTGGCAAACCAATATTAGAACTCAAATGTGTTTGACTCCAATATCCACATTTTTTCCACACCATGTTGAGATAAAACATAAATCTTTATTAAAGGAGAGAAATTCTCATCAGTTTTATTGTTTGGTTGATGAATTAAGAAGCTGGAAATCTTGGTGATTTCTACCTTCTGTTGATCTCAATGTAAAATTTAAGAAAGTCTTCTTTTAATGATTCTGGAATAATAGGAGGCTCCTCCCTGTAAAAGGACCTCAGAAAAATGTGAACCTCTACCTGCATCTAGAAGACCCTCTTTCTAGACCTTATGGGCAATGGGAACCCTGTGGGTGACCTGCTGACTCCTGGTTTTGCAAAGCCCACTCTGAAAGCAGCGCAGGGACCCCACTTGAGTGGGAATGGCTGATGTCAGGTGGTGCTTGATAAATGTGCACGTCTCGTGCTGTGTTCTGGGAAGAAGCTGGAAGGATGACCCTCAGGCTCATGTTTCCAGCTTTGCTTTTGTCACCAAGGCATTGAGGTAGTGATTCCTGAATTCCACCACCTCAGGAAAAACAGCTCTTTGGTGTCTCTAGACCAGCTCCTCTCCAGAGCTCAGAGAGACCTGCTGAGCTGAGCCTACCTTTGAGCCCCTCCCGGCACCCCCTTCTAGTATTCATTGCTGGATTTTTAAAAGTCCAAATTGTCAGTCTTTTCTTTTGGTAGATGAATTCAGGCCATTCCCACTCAGCGTAAGTCCATGCTTGCTTCTATTTCTTTAACATTACATTTATTTTTATTTATTTTCTTTGTTTTTTTGTTTTTGTATCCTCTTTTTCTGTTTTCTTTTTGTTGTTTTGATGAAGATTCTTTCAACTCCCCTCTTTGCCTCTGTAATTTGGAAAGTTGACTACATTTAATTAGCCAAGTCATTACCATGTTCAGAGCATCGTAATTGAATATCTATTTATTTATGATGGGATTGAAATAAATAAGGGCAATGGCCTTGCCTGATGTGCCTACATCCCAGCTCCCCAGTGACATGGAAGCTTCAGGCTGTTCTTCCCTTCCCACGCTTACACTTCTCTGTTAGTGCACCAGCCCCATGTCTGGGCTTTGTTGAAATAATTGAAAATTTGTAGTTTTAGATCATTGCTTTGTTTCCTGTTACAGTATTTCTCTCCTGTTTCAAGAATCCCTTCTTTGCACTTAGTTCCCCTGTTTTCAGCGATAGCATCCTCCTTGCCATCTGCTTCTGTATTGTGATCTCTGTTCTGATCCAGTGATTAGAAGACTTGCATTATTTGCTTCAGGTACTCCAAGCTCTCTGAATTCCAGTGCGGGCAGGGATGTTTTTCTTTTACTTTGATGGGTGACTAATACCTTTTCTGGGAAGAGGATCCCTCAACTGAAGTCTTTTCATTTAACAGTCTATGGATATTGGTGCACTGTCTGCTGGCTTCCATGGTTGCGGACTAGTAGTTCCTTGCTAGTCTGATTTTTATTCCTTTGTAAGAAACTTAAAAAAAAATTTTCCTCTAGAATCTTGTAAGCTATTCATTTCAATATTGGAATTCAGGAATTCTACCTGGATATGCCTAGCTTTGTGTTTCCATTAACATGACTTGGGACTGGGTGAGCATTTTCAGTCTGCAGACTTCAGTGTTTTGTTTTGTTCTATTAATTTCAGGGATATTTTGTCCCAGTTGTTGTTTAACCATATCTCTGTCTTTTCCCCTGGTTTCTAGAAATGCCTATTATTCTCATGTAAGATCTTGATTCCCTTATTTTTTCATCACCAGTGGACAAAATGGATTTTATAATTTGCCATTGCTGTTAACAACTCCCTCAGATGAAATGGAATATTGTAGTTTTTTAATTACTAGCAGTATATTCCTGTTTCTTGGTTAGAAACAGAATAAAGATGTGTAGAGGGCTTACATTATCATTTTAGCTTTGCTCACTGTAAGATCCATGGCCTTGATCGACTCAGGACTTTTGATTCAGTCGACCTATAGTTCTGGCAGAATCTTGTTTACTTGAGCCACATTGACACAAACATGGCACTTTCAACAAGCAGTTAAAGATCACTTACATGTAACTGCTTTGCATTTGAGAAACCTAACTTTTTACAGCCAACATCTATATACTCCTCAGGCTCAGTACCAAAAAATCCATTCATCAAAAATAGCAACAAACCTAACCTCTATTGCACTCATGAAGTCCTGCTGATTTTGTACTAACTAGTCTAAAGCAAAAATTTCACAGTAGATCCTGTTAGTACTTATATAATTATGATGAAAGTTTCTTGTCTATGTAAATCTATATTCTTCCATGTCTACAGGCAGGTCAGTTACAGAGTAATCCTTAGGAATTCAGACCCCATCAGAGCAAGGACTCAGCCTTTGTTACAGGTTCAAATATACAGGGTAGCTCAACACACAATGGTAGGTGAATGAGGATGTCTAGGGAAATGAAGGTGTTAAGCACAAAGCAATTTCATATCGAAGGAATTATGTTATATATTTTTTGGTGTATGATAACCTTTTCAACCACAGAATACATATGTGGCACCAATGTATTTAAGACAATTATATACCAGGTACTTTAAGTATTTCAGACAATTATGTACCAGGTACATCTTGAAAGAAAGTAAATATCTGAAAATAACTTCCAAATCTAGTTGCATGTTTAAAGCTTCTTTTTTGTTCCTTTTTCAGCAATTAGGAAGTTGACTAAATGAT